CTCTGGGACTGCATTCACTAGAGGAAGAGACAAAAAACATTTTTATGAGTTGATTGCACAGCTTGAGCATGGACTGCACATGCAACAACAGAATGCAGTATGGAGAAGTGCAGTGCAGAATTATTTCCTTTTGCACTCACCACAAACACTCAGTCAAATCAAAATCCATGTGTATTATATGTTATGTGCTCTTGTGCCACTTAGTGAGTAAAATACAGTGATAATAATATTTCAACATACCTACAAGCGCCTGTGAAGACACGTTTTTGTTATTAAGCAGATGTGTAGGTTTTCTCATTTTATTATTAAACATGAGCTGTGTTATTTCATGAAATAATTGAATAAGTTAACATATTCACTGCCAAAGAAATATCCAGAATACTCACGCAATGCTGACAAATTCTTAAATTTTCAATATTTGTAGCGTATTCTCATTAGTTTTACAATATGTACTTCATTAGTGTTTCTGCTATTCCGAACACATGGGGGCAATTTACAAGTAATAATTGCATTACTTTCCACTTTGGTAAAGGAATTTGTGAATAGGTTTCAAGACAGCCAAAAAAATAATCATTTTTTCTTATGTATTTGCAACTCCATCTTCAGACGACATAAATATGCAAATTTTCAAATGGAGTGTTCAGAGTTACAAAAATTTGATTATGTCTCTTCACTAGACTTTTATAAGCCCTATCTTAAGAGAGAGAAATATCCCTTGCTTCACAATCACGCCTTTTTAATGTCATCACTTTTTGGCAGTGCATATATTTGTGAACAATTATTGTCAAGGATGGAGGACAGGAAGAGTAAAATTAGATAAAAAATCTCTGATGAGCAGCTTGAGAACTCACTAAGAACTGCAACCATCTCCATAGAACCAGATATTTATGCAACAGTTTCACAAGAACAAGATCAAGTTCCCACTGGTTTTATGCTTTTATTGCCTTCATTTTTGTTTTAATAAAGACTATGTAAAAATAAAAATTGTGTTAATTATATACATTAACTCTATTATGTCTTCTATATGTGGCCCAAGACAATTCCTCTTCACTCAGTGTAGCCCAGGCAAGTCAAAAGGTTGGACACCCATGATCTACACCTCGACCTTGCTAAACCTGCCTTGTGAACTGTGGGTGACCTCAGATTGCACAGTGGTGAGGCAGGGTAATGAAGAAGTCAAGGCACTGAACCCATATTCCCTAGAGTACCACAATTTCAGGATCTATTACAGCTCTGCACATCCTAAGTTGCACAAAGCACCTGTTCCTTATACACTCCTGTGGGAAATCCCCACTTTTTGGTCAGTTTACATGTTGTTGTTCACTGGGAGAATAATAGCCAAAATGGTACCCCAAAACAACTCACTGCTTTCTGCAGCCTCATGACCTCTGTGTTCTCAGTTTCATCTTCCCTGAATTTGTATGAAAGACATGCAGCTTCATTATTATCAGCAACATTTAAGTACTCTCTTCAATCATACTACAATTTTCTTTCAAGGTAGTGATTAAAACGTTTGTCATCCTGAGGGAACCACCATTTCCTGTGCAGAGAAGGAACTCCTGAAGGCACTGCTGAATTTAAATAAGAGTTCATGCATGCAAGATCCCATGCACTAGGCAATGCTCTCCTCACAGTCCTCCTGCTATGGTTCAGATCAGAGCCACTGTTTCTACTCAACTTTCTAGGCCCTCAGCACCTTTTTTCTGTTGTCAGAGACCAAGACTTGACTGAGACCTGCAGAAATGTTACTAGGGAATTTGCCATTGTGAGAAAATCTCCATCTCCTCACTTTTTCTGGGACACTAGAGCTTTGTTCCATGGGGAATTTGTCCTCCAGTGGAACTCACGCTCACGGGATCTGTGTTAAGATAATAGAGAGTAAATCTGTGCCACTAATGGAGGAAACATCTCCCCACAATAAGCTTTGCTGGTGAAAACACTAGGCTATACAAAAGGTAGTAAGAGCCCCAAAGCGTGCATTCAGGGACAAAGGAACTATCTGGGATGACAGAGAAGTGAATGTGGATTGTTACTTTCTTATAGTGTCCCTAATGCCTCTTGATTCCAGCTTGTGAGGTCCAAACACTACAGGCTGTTTTGGGGGGCTTTGGGCAGTGGTAAAATACAGAACTGGGATTGAGTCCATAGCACAGTTCCCTTCTAACATGATGGATGGACTCAACAATGATCTGAGGTGAAGGCTGAGACCAATTCAGCTGTTGGTATATGAGAATCAGAAATCCACCTTCCTCAAGAGCAGAGTTGCTCGAAATGAATTAGCAAAGAGGGTAAAGAAAGTGGGAAAGATAAAAGGAATGTTCTCATACCTCAAACACTCCCTCTCTGGTTCTGCCTGCTCTGGCAGTGACTCATTTTGGTTGCTCAGTCAACAACACTATGGACTTCTTTATGGAAGATGCCCTGGAATTCTGGGAAACTGCAGATGGCTGTGTGGAAAAACCATCTCCTGACTTCTTTGCAGACACTACGTATATCCAACTTCCCAATTGTGAGAGTAGACATGGAAGCACAGAAGATGTGAGACTGTTAACAGAGAATGATAATGTAGACCCTCTGTCTGCACCCTTAGTGACAACTAAGCCTTCAATGGGTCTCCCAGTCTTTGGCAACCTAAGTAATGGCATTTGTTCTTCAGGACACCTGGGAAGTAACAAATATGAAGGAAATGGTAAAGATTAATCTCCTAGACAGTCATTATCAGTATGTAGCAGCTAGAAAAATAAAAAGTTAGACTCTCATTTTGGAATGACTTAGTAGTGTACCCACAAACCAACAAATCTATTTTTTTGTCTACTAGATTTCCTGCTTTTCTCAAATCTTTGAACCTTCTCTCACCCATCTGGTACTTTCCAAGCATGAGGACAGAACTAAAATCCTCCTCCCAGTGGCCTTCAAAACAGCTTGATCCTTTCTTGAAGCTACTTTTCTACTTCCCCATTCCTCTCAGGAACAGGAAATCTCCTTTCTTCAATCTCTTTTCCTTCTGATTTTCCCTTGTTCTGTCCCTTTTTTCTGACACATCTTCACTATGATAGAATCACAGAGTCATAGAATCATAGGATGGCCTGGGTTGAAAAGGACCACAATGATCATCCAGTTTCAACCCCCCTGGCATGTGCAGGATTGCCAACCACCAGACCAGGCTGCCCAGAGTCACATCCAGCCTGGCCTTGAATGCCTCCAGGGATGGGGCATCAACAGCCTCCTTGGGCAACTTGTTCCAGTGCCTCACCACCCTCCGGGTGAAGAACTTCCTTCTAATATCCAATCTAAACCTCCCCTGTCTCTGTTTAAGACCATTCCCCCTTGTCCTATCACTATCCACCCTCGTAAACAGCCATCCCTCTCCTTTTTATATGCTCCCTTCAAATATTGGAAGGCCACAAAGAGATCTCCCCGGAGCCTTCCCTTCTCTAAGCTAAATAATCCCACCAGTTCCCTCAACCGTTCCTCATAAGAGAGGTGCTCCAGCCCTCTGACCATCTTAGTGGCCCTTCTCTGGATTCATTTCAAGAACTATGCATCTTTCCTGTGCTGGGGGCCCCAGGTATGGACACAGTACTCCAGTTGGGGCTTCACAACAGCTGAGACGAGGGGGACAATCACCTCCCTCTTCCCTGATGGCTGTTGAAGAGCACCAGTCGCAAGACTGACCCCTGAGGGACACCGCTTGTGACAGAACTCCACCCTGACACAGAACCATTAATCACAACACTTTGGCTGCATCCAGTCAACCAATTCTTAATCCTCAGAACATTCCATCCTTCAAATCCATACCTCTCCAATAAATGTTTGTTCCAACAGAAAGAAAATCTCAGCTAAAATTTCCTAGAAGCCATCATGGCTAACATAGTCAGCTTCCAGAACAGCTGTTTCCAGAGCCAACTCTTTGCTGCACCAGTAAGATTCAGTATGACAAGAGCACTGTTCACAGAGTATGTGTGTGGATGTATGTGTGTGTTTAAGCCTACCCTCTATGTTGTAAATAAATGTGTGTCCAGCCATCTCGAATCTCGTTAACTTGAGCCTTAGTTACAATAAAGATTTGTTAAATCTATATATATATATAAAACCATATATTATCTATATTATATCAATAAATATATTCTAGCCTCTCTCCTACAAGTGCAGTATAGTCATTTTCTGTCTAAACAACTCTTTATCAGTGAGTGTAATTATAGGAGAAGGTATAATGTCATTAAAGTAAAAAAGAGTAGATTCAGGTTAGATATTAGGAATACATTCTTCAATTACACAGGTTGCCCAGAGTAGTTGTGTATGCCCCATCCCTGGCAATATTCAGAGTCATGCTGGACAGGACTCTGAACCACCCAATTTAGTGGAAAGTATCCCTGCTTATAGAGGTGGATGGAACTAGAGATCTTTCAGATCCCTTCCAATCAAAACTATGCTATGATTCTATGACATTTTCTGTGAACTCACAGATAGCATAGAGAGGAGACAAGTCAAAGAATCAAGAACTTTTTTCCAGAGTGTTACATGGGATGTGGGGTTAAAAACCAGCAGGAAACCTACACCTATGGGAAGGCCAAAAAAAAATGGCCATCAAAGCGAGATGAGGAGACAGGGAAAAAAAAGGACATGGCACATCCTCACGCACAGGAAGACTTGGGTATTCAGATGATACTTGCTGGAAATTATCCTGAGGATGGCACTTCAAAGAGCCCCACTGTAGTGAACCAAGCTGATGACACTTACCTGCTCAGGACCGGTCCAACACTTGAGCTGAGTTTTCTGTCTCATCAGTGCAATCCTGCCCTAAAAATCCTTGGGCCTTTCATTTCAGCACTCAAAAAAACCTTCATTAGAGGATGGGCATGGCATAAATCTGGAAATGAAAAGGCAACACTGCAGGAAACTAAAGCACAGCTCATATCATTAGCAAGGATGGCTTGCATTTAAGGTGAGCTTGTCAGAAAATTATTACCTCTGCTAAGAGTACCTCTGGGCCTGCAGCAATGAAGGACCAGTATAAAAGGCAGCCCAATTCCCAGCTCTCCCATCCACTTCTCTTGCCTCTTTCTCCTTGGGAACCAGGTAAGTGTGAAGCCCTCCGTCCTCTTGCAAAGCGAGATTTTGCCTCGGTGGCCTTCTTATCAAATAGTTATTCTGCCCTATGCTGGGGATTGGACATTCTTGCTGTGGGAGAAGGATAAGTCTGCTGAGAGTGACTGGGACACTGCTTATATGGCTTGTGATTTTTGCACTCTGTGAGTCTCCCTGGGTCAGGCTACTCTTTGTAGGGCTCTGGCATGATAAAGGGATGTGACATGATGTCTTCATCTCCATTCATAGTAGCTGCCTGGGCTCCTTTGTGAGAGGGTATCCACTTGCTCTTCACATAGTCATGTACAGTGCTTCCTCCCAATTCTCTCCTAGGTTTACTTCTAATCCCAAGACATGTCCTGCTACTCCCAGTGCGTGCCATGCCGGCCCTGCGGCCCGACCCCTCTGGCCAGCAGCTGCAATGAGCCCTGTGTCAGGCAGTGCCAGAACTCCAACGTTGTCATCGAGCCCTCTCCCGTGGTGGTGACCCTGCCCGGACCCATCCTCAGCTCCTTCCCGCAGAACACCGTTGTGGGCTCCTCCACCTCCGCTGCCGTTGGCAGCATCCTCAGCTCTGAAGGTGTGCCCATCACCTCGGGGGGCTTTGACCTCTCTGGTTTTGGAAGCCGCTACTGTGGCAGAAGGTGCTACCCCTGATAAAGCTGCTGACCATGATTCTGGGGAAGTTCTTCCAAAAACTACCAGATAAAGGAGGAATCTTCAGGCCACTGCTTTCAGAATACCTGACCATCCTCAACTATTCTAGAAAATGCTGACAGGAAGAAGGAAGACTGGCCTTTCTAAAAGCGTGGCTCATGTCTCTTCTTCTATTCCACCACCTACCTCTTTCCATTTTCATTTTTTTCCCCCGTCTGTGCTTCTCTGTGTGTTGGGACTACCCTGAGCCAGCCTATCCTCTGCTGGAAAGCCAGGCACATGCCCTGCATGAAGTCTACCACAGGATCAGGTGAATCCTGCACTGCAGAACCTCTGTTCAGATTGACCTCATTTTCTTCTTTAAACATTCATTAAAGATTTCTGCATATCACTTTGGGCTTTTGGTGTTTCTTTCCACTGTATGTAGCCTCCAGAGCTGTCCAGGGAGAATGTCTTTGCTCTTGGTGGGTGTAAGATGAGTGTTTAAATAGACCCTTTTCTATTCCCAGAATAGGTCTTCTGCAACCAACAGCCATCCTGTTGGTGTAGTTTCAACCAGTTTTGTGTCTTGGACAACGTGCTGTCAACTGGGGTGGTCAGAGCAGGGATGGATGGTACAAATAGATAGTGAACAAAGTAATGTTGGGATGTGAGCAGGTGGTGTTAATGCTGGGCGTCCTCACTGATCTCTGCCAACAGCTTCTGCTGCACCTGGGCTCTGCTCACAGCCATTGTCTAGTATATAAAAACTTCTTTGTACCCACCTCTGCCTATTGTTTATGATGACAAATCTTGAAGAAATGGTGAGGAGCATACAAAGATTGTAAGAGATTCCAAAGGATGACAGCAACACGTGCACTAAATGATGTGTGCATTAATGGTGAAGAGATTAGTGCATATATCACAGATAGAAAGGTGAAATTGTTGAAGAAGAGGTTGAAAGAAGCAAAATGTAAGGAATGGTTGCATGAATTACAGAGTTACAGAGAGGAATGAAAAAAAAAAAAAAACAAAACAGGAAGAGTTGGATGAAGATTGGATTGGTGAATTCAAGGTGGGGTAGGAGCAAAGGGAGGTATGGTGCAAGGAACATGGAGTACGGAGTGATCAAGAGCCACCACTCAACCATGGGCCTGAAGACACGCCTGTGGGAGTCAGCAATGGGAGCAGAACCATCTGCAGTGATACTGGGAGCAGGGGAGTGTGAGAGGGGCTGTCTCCAACATGGACAACTTGGTCACAGGGCACTGGTGAAGGAAGGGAGGCTGAGGCTGTGAGAGCAGGGAACAGGTAAAGAAAGAGAAGCTGAACATGCAGTATGCAATGGCAGATGGAGAAGAGGGCCTTGGAGAAATATGTGCCCAACTAAGAAAAGATGACAATGTCTTTTCCTGGCTTGCTTTTTCTTCTTAGAGGCTAACAGAATGGTTGGAGACACTACATGTAGGAGCTTAAGTAAAATGTTGAATTTCCCTTTATCAGAGAAATGAGCAAAGCAATTTGTGTTGGAATGTGAGCTTGTCCTTAGGGCAAGTATGGCACAGTTTTCTTGACTATGATATCCTTGACTGGGTGTTGTATTCCTTTAATCATACACATTACCACTGAGAAAATCACTCAGACCTTAACACTGTTTTCACTTTTCAGTGGAGATCCCTGGCTGAACACAGCTTCCTGCATGACTGGGAGTGCATCATTTATTTTGAGATGACATTGACTATCCCAGACATCCAGATGTTCCTGGCAGTTAGATCTGGGAATATGTGCTGCGGTCTACAAGGGTAGGGAGTAAATGTATGCAGAAATTGTAAAGAGTAAGTGGATGCAGAAAGAAAGATGGTGGTGAAGTGAACTGCATAGAATCAACAGCAATGTTAGACACAAGGGAAGAATGAATAAACAGATGAGTAGCAAATTCCATTGATTTTTTACTTTTATTTGGGATCAGTTTCTACTCACGCTCATTTTAGCCAAGACCTGGCTTTATCCCAACTGGAGAGATGCATTTAGATGAAGCAATAACTTTCGGAGTGTAATTTGCCTTCTACAAACTGTTCAATCTGAGCGAATCATCAAGGGTTGATGAAGTCAGATGAGCTGAATCAACTTTTTTAGCTTCTCACATTCCCTTTATTTTTTCTACAGGTTTTCAATGGTTTGATCCATATCCAGGGTCCTATAGCATTTGCTCCATCAGTATTCACACATTTCCATCCACATTCAACGTACGGAAAGAAAGAAGGGTTTACTGAATCCACCCAGACATTATAAATAAAGATACTAAACAGGTCTGACTCCAGTCATAACCTCTGGGAACACTACTTCTGACAAGTCATCAGATAGATTTAACTTAATTCACCACCACACCTAGATGCAACCAGTAGCTAGGCTAGGGATATATTCCTAGTAATTACACACATACATTAGAAGCACGTGTGTTTACCATACATATAGCATACATATACATATATATGTAGCACACCAATTAAATCAACACAGGCAGATATACTTAGCATTCCTGTAAAAATAGAATAGCACGAAGATCATCATCCTGTTCCTCCCTTAGGCTGATCAGAAGGTAATGTGGGAGGAAACACGTGTATAATGTGAATCACTGGAGAAGCTTAGCTAAAAATGTAGTCTACCCTGGAGCTGGCCCTTGTATCCACCTAAAAGCACCAAGTGCTGCTCACACGGTATAAGACACCTCTCACACAAGGTCACACACCAGTTGCTGGTACTTATTTACGTATTTACATGGAGTATAGATTTCCTCATATTTGGGAACAAAAGGGAATGAAATGTAATAAGATAGGACATAGATAGGACATGGTCAGGCAAGTTTTTTGATCATCCATTTACATGAGACCAGTCCTTTTTTCCCCTTACGTCTGTATTTTTCTCCATTTTTTTCCTCCCCTAAATACCTCATAGTAAGTCCTGAGAAATCCCAGAATGCTTTTACTCGGCATCCTATAATGTGCCCAGTAGTGCTAAAATATAATCCCTCTCAATCTGAGCCAACTCATCTTGATGGGTCTCATATCCAAACTACATAAAACTGCACTGAGGACAAGGGTGTCCATTCCACCCACTACTTATTTCAGTTTCCCTTGACTGCTTTTATGTGTGAAAATGTGCCTTCGGTGGGTTGACCAGTGTCCTGTGATGTCTGTGGCATTAGCTGGCTGAGGGCATTATTTGGGTTCCCCACCTGCCATTGTTTCTCTGTATTTCTTTGTATGTGTGCAGCCTGGGATTTTACCATGTAATATAATACCTCCCGTTTTTCACACCATATGCTAACCCCCAGTCCTTCAACAGCTGATGGAAGAAAAGGCAAGGGAAGAGAACAAAATTGCAGAAGAAGAATCCAAGATATGCTAATGAACTGAGAACAGGCATTCCAGCCATTGCTTTCAGAGGGGTTGAGCATACACAACTCCATCTGTAAAGGAAGGCAAGGGGAGGTCAACCTCCTCCTTCAAAGAGGAGCTCTCTGAAAACAAGGCCCATGCCTAATTCCCTCTTCTCTTTCTCTCTTCTCCCTTTTTTTCTGCTCTCCTGGACTGTGAGCTCCTGCTAAGCCAGTCTTAGAAAGACCAGCTTCCTTTCTCCCTCCAGGGTGTGGGCAGTTAGATGCCCAATGCAAAGCCCCCTCTGATCAATGATTCCTACCTACTCCTGATGTTCCCCATATCACGACACCCTCTCAGAAGTCCTTGTTCCCCTTGTTCAAATCCTTAAAGTTCTTCTGCATCCTAGTCTGGATCTCTGTGTGGTACTTTCCTCTCTGGACACTCTCCCAGGCTGCCAGAAATCTATTGCTTCGAGAAGATCCTGTAGGGTCAGAGGAGACCCATGTCCATTGCCAGACAGTGAGACACAGGCAGTGAGCTTGTTTCAAACACTGTTCTTGAAACTAAGAAAAATTTCCCTGGCTCCCACATCCAGGGCCTGCCTTGCTGGGTCTCTGCACAGAATGCTCTCCCCAGCCTTTGAGCACATCCAGCAGATAGAGAACTCAACCACTATCCTACAGAGGAGATGATCTTCCCAGCCACAGTGAGAGGTAGCAATGGCACTGGGACATGCTTCTGTATCTGGAAGCTTCTGCATGTCCTCCATGGCAAGTGACTTCCAAGTGGCTCATCTAGGCAGAAAGGAAAGGCATCATGGCCTTTCAAAATCCTCTTGGTCACTGAGGGCTCTGATCTGCTCCTCACAGGCACTCATACCCTTGTGTGAAACAGTCACCTCTAAAAGCATTGTGGGAGATGTGGTAGTATGTGGCTGTCTTGTGTTGGCAGAATTGACAGTGATCATGACTTTTCTGGTGTCAAAATTTCCTGTTGCAGCGAGAGAAAACTGTCGACACTGATGCTTTTTCTTTTCCTCTTTTAGTTGTTTCTGCTCCACCTTGAATGTTCCTTTTCACAGACGGGGCAGGTGGCTCAAGGATTTATGGGACAGCTCATCAGTGCCACTGGGAGATGAGTCCTCCAGCTGGAGGGGTCGAATGCAGACTGAGGACATTGGTCTGGTGCTGTGGTGTGCAGATTTTTTGCAGGCCCAGTGTTCTCTATCAGCAGGGATCACTTGACCTTTTTCATATTCCACACTTCTGAAAGGTATGAGTGCTTGTGAGAATGTTCAGAGCTCTTATGAGTTTTGAAGGTCTTTGGCCATTATACAGACCTAGATGAACTTGGGATATTGCAAAGGCTCATCTTTATACTATTGCTTTGGATAAGCAAATATATTTAACCTCTACTGGTCTTTCTAGAGAGCCTCATGGCTAAAGGCCTGGGATCATAGAATTAGAGAATATACTGAGTTGGAAGAGGCCCACAAGAAATATCAATTCCAACTCCTGGTTCCATTCAGGATCACACTAAAATCAAACCAAACGTCTCTGTCTGCTGTGCAAACATAGCATTCTTGCCACTGTGACCACTTCCCTGGGGATCCAGTGCCTGAAAACCTTTTCAGTGAAGAAC